AAACACTCCCAGGACAGGGGCAGCACGGGGTTAGATGCAGAGTAAAGGCTCCTCAACACTGTCCCCATCAAATGTTTAAAAATCCAAGTCTGGATTTCACGAATGTCTCCTTGAACGTAAAAGGTAAAATTGAGAATTCTGGAACCATGGTTAGGAGGTCTTCCAAAACTCCCCTAGATTCTGGAAAGTTACAATGGATTGGAAAGTAGTGAATATTACTCCGTCTTTTCAGGAAGGGAGTATGGCAGGTAACAAGGAACCATAGGCCACAATTAGCGTGACATCTGTCTCAGGAAAGGTGTTAGAATCATATCATTAAAAAGATCATCACTGCAGTGTCAGAAAATCTCAAAGCAATTGGGAACAGTCAGCTTATTTTTGTGAAGGGGAAGTCATGTTTAATCAATGCTTTTGGAGTTCTCTAAAGAATTTGTATGAGTCTATGACTGAGTCACACAGAATTGGAAAATAAACAGCCTGACAACATAGTGGGAATTCCAGAAGTCAGCTGATAACGTGCTTTATCAAAAGGTTATTACAGAAAATTTAAGCTCATGGTGTAAAGGGGTGGTATATTAGCACGGATAGAAGTCTGGCCAACCAGTAGAAAATTGAGAGTATGCGAAACTGGGTCTTTAGTTGGCAGGGTACGACAATGAAGGGATCCACAGGGGTCTTTTTTTCAAAAACTGTTTACATCAGGATGAAGGGAGCTAAGGCATTGCAAATAAAGAATGTTGTAGAGAAATAAAGGAAATCATGGACTCAGACAGGTCGAGTGAGTGGATAAAAATCCGGCAGATGGAATGTAACGTCATAGTGTGTGAAGTTTTTTTTACTTTGGCACGAAGAATCTAAAAGCAGAGAGCGTTATTTGAATAGAGCAGGATTGCAGAAACCCGAGGCATGGGGGGCGGGGGGGGGGGGTGGTGTCTAGGTATCCTGCTGCAGGAGTCACAAAACACTTGTGTGTAGCTACATTCAAGAATCATGAAGGCCACCAGATTGCTGTCCTTTATTACAAGAGGAATTGTCTATTAAAAGTAAGGATGTCAGGATTCAGTTACACAGGGCATTGGTGAGATCACATCTCAAATACTGCCCACACTTTGATCTCCTCATTTAAAGGAGATGGAAACACATTGGAGATAGTTCAGATAGGCAGATATCTGAACTGGGTGAGTTGTCACATCAGGGAAAGTTTGGACAGGCTTGGAGTTTAGAAGAGTGAGGAATGATTTGTGTGAACAGACGTGACAAGGTGGATTTGGAAAGGATGTTTCATCTTGTGGGTCCACAACCAGAGGACACTGTTTCTAAATTCAGGATCATGCTTTTAGGATAGCAATGAGGAGAACTGCTTTCTCTGAGGGTTCAGAAACTTTGGAACCCTTTCCCTCTGGAGGTGGCAAATGTGAGGTGGCTGAATACTTTACGGCAGAGGTGTATAAATTCTGGTTAGATGGGAGAATCAACGGCTTTCAGCAGTAGCTGGGAGGGAGGAATTCACAACTCAAACAGATCAAGACCTTACTGAATGGTGGAGCAGGCTCAAGGGGCCGAATGGATTGGAGTGAAAGGGAAGGGATCCGGTTGTCGTTTTCCACATTGACACCAACGACTTTGACAGGAGGTTCTGCCAAATGAATTTGAATATTTAGGAGCAGAATTAAAAAGCAGAACTTCCAAGGGAATACTCTTGGGCTGACTACCTGAGCCAGGCAAACTGGCACAAGTTAACTGGGTCAAAGGAGCCAAACGCATGGCTGGACATGTGCCGCGGGTGGAATGGAACGAAATGGGTTACTATTCATGGGGTACCAGCGCTAGAACTGGGATCAAAGTGAACTGCTCTGGCAGGACCAGCTTCACTTGAACTGCGCTGGACCAGTGTCCTGGACAGACAACAACTAGAGCCGTAGAGAGGACAGTAAAATAAACGGAGGTTATGAGGTGGGGTTCAGGAGAGCAGAAACGCAGGCTTACAAAGCGAAAATAGGTGGCAGCATTGCAGAACAGCTACTCTAGGGAATGATACCCTGAGTGGGAGGGGTAGGGACAGAGTACACAGGGGCAAAAACAGTAAAATAATATGCAAAATTATCATCTCTTTGCATGAATGCAAGTAGTATTCAGGACGAAATAAATGAATTAGCACGCAGCAGAAGTTAATTGGTACAATCTTACAGCTATTAGAGAGACAAGATTACAAGATCAAAGCTGGAAACTAAATACTCAGGTGTCTGGGACTTTTGAAAAGGAAACAATAGCAGGGTGACTTTGCTGGTAATGAGACAGAATAAGTACAGTAGCAAGAAATGATCCTGAATCAGAAGATGTAGAATCCATATGGGTGGGATGGCCTTCTCTTGCTCCCAATTTGTATATGTTCTCCAAAGGGACAACCACTTCATAAAATTCACCCCAGGACAGTCTAACTTTGAGTTTCCCAGGTGGGAATATTTGTCGTGCAGAGTCTGGAGTATGTACTACTACATATAAAAGATGTCTGATAACTGTCTAAACAATCATACTTGGGTTGGAGAATGCAGGCCTCATGACACTGGAGACTGAATGAGTCCCAGTGATGGTGCAGTGCGATACAAGGCTGAACAATACTCAATTTGCAAGTAAAATCTAGATGCCATCACTCCTAATGCAAGAGTCCATCTTCAATACAGCTCACGCAATTGGTATAGATTTCACAACCACCGGAGTGAAAACAGAATGTACAATTATCTGTCCTGGACCATCCACATTGATGCAATGGTCAAGGAGGCACAACAGTGCCTCTACTTCCCCAGGAGGCTAAGGAAATTTGGTATGTCCATAGACTCTTATCAATTTTATAGATGCATCATGGCTTGGTATGGCAACTGCTCTGCTCAGGACTGTAAGAAACTACAGACAGAGCTGTGAACACAGCCCAGACTATCACACAAGCCAACCTTCCATCCATTGACTCCATCTACAGTTCTCGCTGCCTCAGGAAGGCAGCTAACACAATCAAAGACCCCTCCCACCTCTTCCAACCTCTGACATCGGGCAGAAGATACAGAAGCTTAAACACACATACCAACAGGTTCAAGAACAGCTTCTTTCCTGCTGTTATTATACTTCTGAATGGACCTCATAGAATCAGAATCCTCAGTGTGGAAACAGGCCATTCAGCCCAACAAATCCACACCAGCTCTCTGAAGAGCATCCCACCCAGACTCCTCTCCTACCCTATCCCTGTAACCCTGCATTATGCATGGCTATTGCACCTAGCCTGCACATCTGTGGACACTATGGGGCAATTTCCCATGGCCAATCCACCTAACCTACACATCTTTGGACTGTGGGAGGAAACCGGAGCACCCGGAGGAAACCCACACAGACACGGGGAGAACACGCAAACTCCACACAGACAGTCGCCCGAGGCTGGAATCAAACCCAGGTCCCTGGTGCTGTGAGGCAGCAGTGCTAACCACTCAGCCATTGTGCTGCCCTAATTTTAAATTTAATGTTGATCTCTATCTTTGTGCGCCTTCTCTGTAGCCATAACATTGTATTCCTCACTCGTGTTCTATTCCCTAATGCACTTTGTATGGCATAATCTGCCCAGACTGCACGCAGAACAAAACTTTTCACTGTACCTAGGTACATGTGACAATAATAAATCAAATCAATTATTGATGAGGGACAGTAGGATGGGAGTATGCTGAAAAAGCGAGAACAAACCAAAGAAGGGAGACATTGTGAACCTCATTTGGTGTTGGATTTGAACTGACACACAATGCTCTCGGCTTATGTTTGACCCTTGACAAACATCACTGACACAAGAAAAAACAAAAAAAACACAGATTATGAGAAGAGTAGCAGCAATCCTCAGAACGGAATGCCAGTATATACGAGATGAGTGGGATCAGGATTGTGTCATTCACAAGTTGCCAGATGCGGTCTCCTTGCTGTTTGTGGTCGATGTCGTCACTGTGTTTTCCTACATGACAACATTCCATGGAGCTGTCCAACCTCAAGGCACTTCAGGATCCTCCAAGGTTGTGAGAGCAGCTGTAGAGATGCAAACCGCTTCCCACGGGAAAGGAACAGGCCACTGCAGTGGGTTCTGCTCCCGAGACGGTGACATTACTGACCTGCTGGAGAGTTGCTCTTTCCAGTGGTCTGTCTACTGGCTCCTGTTTGGAGGCCACCTCAAGTGCTGGAGATGCCTGCTCAGCCTCCCTCTGCTGCAGCCGCTCTGCCATCATTTTCTTCAACTTCAGGTTCTCATATCTGGAGTGAGGCGGAGGGGGGGGGTGGTTGAGAAATAAAGGACAGAACTGAAAAGATGCCTGTTTCACCGAATCCCTTTTACCTTGTTTTACAGAAGATTACGAAGATCTGGGGAAGGACCATCCACCCAAAAGGTTTGGGCTAGACATTATTTTCTTCCACCAGCATCTTCAAAATTGGGGGGCCTCCTTCCTCCACCTTCGACCAATCTCCACGAGACACCCTTACGGTCCCCATCGCCCTGGGTGAATGAGTTAAGTCCACAGCACTATCTCTCTGCTTCTCTCCACAGTTGCTGGCCAACATTTGGGGAAGTATAGTCGGGAGTGCCAGCCGGAAATACTAAGTCCAGAAGCAGTACTCATAATTTCAAAGAAATCATTCAACAATGACTGGCAGACTGGGAATAGATACTGGGGCTGTGGTGGGAGCAATTGGAATTGGAAATTTCCCCACTGAGGGGAAATACAACAGCTCAAGGAATATAAACTGCAAGGCTCTAGGATCAGAGGGCATCATCTCAGAGTAAGTCTACTTAAGACAGAGATGAGGAGGAATTTCTTCTCTCAGAGGGGAGTGAATCTGTGGAATTTTTTTACCACCGAAGGTTGTTGAGGCTGGGTCATTAAGTATACTCAAGGCTGAGATAGACAAATTTCCAAATCAGTAAGGGTTAATGGGGAAAAAGGCAGGAAAGTGGAGCTGAGGTTTGTAAGATCGATGTTGGTCATTGGCAGAGCAGTCCCAATGGGCTGAATGACCACTTCTGTTCTTATTGCCTACAAAATGGCAAAAGATGCAAGTTTATAGACAGAGGGCTGAGTTTAGTGGTGGCACTTTCATCGGAACCTTGGAATAGCAGTAGGTCACTTTGCCCCTCTATAGCCTGCTCTGTTGTTCAGTAAATCATGGCCAATCTGATTACTCCACATTCTTGCCCAACCTCTATAATCTCTTGTCCCTCCCTTTATATCAAGAACCAACCCAGCTTCTCCTTGAAAATACTAAAAGACTCTGTTTCCACTGCCTTTTGGAGGAAGAGAGTTCCAAAGACTCATGATCTTTATAAAAACATATTCCCCAGTCTCAGTCTTAACTGGGTGTCTCCTTATTTCTCAACAGTGACTCCTAGTTCTATATCCTCCCACAGGAGAAAATGTCTCGTCTCAGGAGACAGCAGCTCATCGGCTCAATTCCCAGTCCAGAGACTGTTTCTAGGCCAACATTCCCAGTGCAGCACTGAGAATGCTGTACTGTCAGAGGTGCTATTCAGAGGTTCAATGGGCATTTCCGAGAGATGCAGGCTCACATCCCTCGGGGCTCTGGGACAATAGCCATTCCACAATAAACAATATATTAAAAAAATCAAAAAAGATGGCCTGGTTATTACCATACCGTTATTCATGAAAATTCCTGGGACGAAGGAGGAAAGGTTAAACAAGTTTGGTCCATAATCACTGGAGATTAGAAAGGGAGGAGGATCTTATTACAGTGTGAAGATCCAGAGGGGCCTGAATAGTCAGAGGGTATTCCCCTCTTGTTGGAGAGACCAAAATTAGGGTAAGTTATTAAGAATAAGTGATCTCTCTTTTATAGACAGAGATTATAGAGTCACAGAGCCACACAGCACAGAAACAGGCCCTTCCATCCAACCCGTCCATGCTGACCATAATCCCAAACTAAACCAGTCCGATCTGCCTGCTCCTGGCCCATATCCCTCCAAACATTACTTAGTCATGGACTTATCCAAATGTCTTTTAAATGTTGTAACTGTACCCAAATCCACCACTTCTTCTGGAAGTTCATTCCACACACAAACTGCCCTGGTGCGTAAAAAAAACTGACCCTCCTGCCTTCTTTAAAATCTTTCTCCTTTCACCTTAAAAATGTGCCCTCTGGTTTTGAAATTCCCCTGATCTAGGCTAAAGACACCTACCATTCAACTTATCTATGCCCCTCATGATTTTATAAACCCCTATAAAGTCACCCCTCAACCTCCTACACTCCAGTGAGGAAAGCCCCAGCCTATCCAACCTCTCTTTATATTGTTTTATATAAATCTGACTGACAAACATTAGCCTGTGAAATACTCCATTGCTGGGTATTTAAGTTTATTCAAGAACAGCTGGATGGGTTTTCGATGTACGAGGGTTACAGTGGGCAGACAGAAAACAGACAGCACAACCAAATCAGCCATCACCTTACTGATGAGTGCAGCAGGCTCAAGGGGCTGAATGGCCTTTTCTGCTCCTGTCTCCTCAATTGACTGCCCGTGTTTCCTACGCTAACAGCGGTCACTCTTTCAATGACAAAAGTACTTCGCTGGCTGGCAAGGGCTTCGGGAAATCCCGAGGTGGTGAAAGGCACTACAGGAATGCAGTTCCTTTGTTATTTTAAAAGGGACAGACTGTCAACGTACTTCATCCTCTCCATCATCTGATTCTTGTCGTTAAGGTCGTGGTCCAGTTTCTTCCGAAGATCTTCATTTTCTTTACGTAGCTGTTCACAAAGGGTCTGCAAAAGTTTTTTGGGGGGGTGGGGAGTGTGGAGAGAGAGAGAGAGAGACATGATCCAATTTATCCCTTTGCATCACTCCCTCCCCCTCCTAAACACCCCCACTACACCCCCCCACCCTCAATACCCCCTCGCCTTCCCCCTCACTCATCCCCCTGGGCCATCAGCAACCGTCTTCTGTTTCTAAAGCAAACATTCCCCTCTGAAAAGCAACAGCAACCTGTATTTACATAGCGCTTTCTGCTTCTAGCGGAAACACGCCCTTCTGAAAAGATTTAACAACAACCTGTATTTACATAGCACCACAGTAACAAGGTCTGTCTCAAGGTGCCAAACAAGAGTGAATCTCAAATGCAGCTTAATACTAAGCAGCACACCAGGGTAGGTTTGAAAGGAGCCCAGAGAAAGAGAGAGACGCAGGGGACAGTTCTCTCTCACTAATCAATACCCAAGGGCAGAAAGGTGAGAGACACTGCCCCCTACCTGCAGGACGGTAGTCTTGTACTCATTCTTCTGCACTTTTGAAGAGAGACGATTGAAGTCCACGGCCATTCGACCCAGGTGGGCTAGCAGCTCCTTCCTGTTGGTTTCCTCAGCAAACAGGCTCAGCGAGTTCTCCAGACGCTGCAAGTGAACAGAGACGTTTCCATCCTCAATCGCCAACTTCTGCAGCACCTCCTGAACCTGGGAGAGGGCACAAAGACACAACCAGTCACCACAAAGCCTAGGCAGCAACAACTTGCATTTTTTTATGAAAGTAGGAACTGCAGATGCTGGAGAATCTGAGATAACAAGGTGTAGAGCTGGATGAACACAGCAGGCCAAGCAGCATCAGAGGAGCGGGAAGGTTGACGTTTCGGGCCTAGACACTTCTTCAGAAAAACGTCAGAGGAGTTTATGGATAAAATTTCAGAATATTTGGTTTCAGTAGCTGAAGACATGGCTGCCAATGGTCAGGTGATTAAAATCAGGGCTGTGCATGAGGCCAGAATTGGAAGAACGCTGAGATCAGATAGTCGGAGGGTTTTAACAGAAATAGGGACTGTGGAGGGACAAGGCCAGGGAGGGATTTGAAAACAACAAGAAAGAGGGAAAAAAAGTGAGGTGTTGCAAGATAA